ACTCCTTGTCCTGTCCTCAGAAACCAAGAGGAACAAATTTTCTCCTTCCTCCTTGTGACACCCTTTTAGATATTTGAAAACTGCTATCATGTCCCCCCTTAATCTTCTTTTTTCCAAACTTAACAAGCCCAGTTCATGAAGCCTGGCTTCATAGGTCATGTTCTCTAGACCTTTAATCATTCTTGTTGCTCTTCTCTGTACCCTTTCCAATTTCTCCACATCTTTCTTGAAATGTGGCGCCCAGAACTGGACACAGTACTCTAGCTGAGGCCTAACTAGTGCAGAGTAGAGCGGCAGGATGACTTCACGAGTTTTGCTTACAACACACCTGTTGATACAACCTAGAATCATATTTGCTTTTTTTGCAACAGCATCACACTGTTGACTCATATTCAACTTGTGGTCCACTATGACCCCTAGATCCCTTTCTGCCATGCTCCTTCCTAGACAGTCGCTTCCCATCTTGTATGTATGGAACTGATTGTTCCTTCCTAACACAATTAATAGGCAGCTGGTTTAAAACAAACAATGTATTTCTTCACACATCATACAATCAACCTGTGGAACTCATTGCCATATGATGTTGTGAAGGCCCAAAGTGTAACTGGGTTCCAAAAAGAATTGACTATGTTCATGGAGGATAGTTCCATCAATGGTTATTGGTCAGGGACACGACCCCATGCTCCAGGGCTTTGCCTACACTGTGCATTGTTGAGCAATAAGATATGCAAATGAGACACGGGGATGAAGATCACTGCACCTCATTTGCATACCTAATGAGACGTCATTTTTGTGGCACGGGCTTTTGCGCAAGAAGGAGCTGTCTACACTGCCCCTTCTTGCACAAACCGCCCCCCTTGCGCAGAGCCGTTCTGCGTATTTTCAGGAAGAACGTCTCTGCGCAAGAGGGGTTTTTTGCTCAAGAAGGAGCAGTGTAGACAGCTCCTTCTTGCGCAAAAGCCCGTGCCACAAAAATGACGTCTCATTAGGTATGCAAATGAGGCGTGGCGATATTCATCCCCGTGCCGCATTTGCATATCTTATTGCTCAACAATGCGCAGTGTCGACATAGCCCCTGTGTGTCTCTACTCTGACTACCAGACGTCGGGGAGTGGCGGGTTACTTTCTAATTGCGCCGCTCCGTTGATTCCCCCTACGCTGGCCCCTGTCGAAGGCAGGATACGGGACTGGGTGGGCCACTGATACAACCCAGTGTGGTCTGTTATGGTTAAAAGTTGGCAGTTCCCCAGCACGTCTCATTCCTGGGCCCAGGGCAGAATTGTTCACTCCTGTTAGGTTTTGGATTGTTTGCTTTAGTCTAGTTCTAATCAGCCCAAGGACTCGGCTCCTCTCTCTTCACCGTTTGCCCACATGTGCTATTTGCAGCCTGTTGTTATGTCCCCTTGTTGCTTAGGGATGCCAGACAGATTTAGCTCTTCTAATCTCTCCTGGTGAGTCAGTCTTTCTGGCCCGAGAGCTGTTTCATGGCTCTTCTCTGAGCACCCTCCACTTTTGCAGTATCTCCATGTGAGAATGGGGCAGCCAACTGGTCTCCCCCACCCTGCCCCAGGGCAGTAGGTGTGGGACTGAGCTGGAGGGAGCCACTGGTTCCTCCCTGCTCTGAGACCAAAAGTCCCTGTATATGCATTCCCACAATCTCGTTGGGCTTTTCCATCTGCCTTACGCTGCTGCAAACTGGTCGATCTTACAGCTGCCATCCTGTCTTGATCTCTAGTGGCTGTTCCTGTGGTCCAAGTATCTCCTGTCCATTGGGTATCTGGGCTTTATTTTCTCCTGGTGTATGTACTGCCTGTACCCAGGTTGACTCTGACTTGCTGATTTCCTGCCGTGATCTCTAGTCCCTCTCAACCCTGTGTTGCTTTCACTTGAGAGCTTAAGACTTACAGCGTTTAAGGCCGGAGGGCCCATTAGCCCATCTAGAGTGATGGTCTGTATAACACAGGCAACTGAATACCCCTTTACCAAGTCCCCTGTCACTTGTGTTTGGCTAGCATCAGTTCCAGAAAGTCATCCAGGGTCGGGACACTGCAAGAGACGGAGAATCCAACACCTTTAATAGTTTATGCCAATAATTAAACACGCCAACTTTTAACTCTTGTTGCCTGATTTCTAAGTTGAATTTGTCTGAGTTCCACTTCCAGTCATTGGTTCATTTTCTTCCTCTGTCTGCTAGATTAAAGTGCCCTTTGGTGTCTGGTATTTTCTCAACATGACAGTATGTACACGTGGAAATCAAAACCTCACAGTCATTTACAAGTCTCTGGGTCAGGCCTTTTTGCCAGCCCGTGAATTCTGTTTTGTGGCTCTGTTCGGCACCCTCTTCAATTTTGTTAACACGATTTTGAAAATGTGGCTCCCGGAATTGTACCAGATAGTCCTGTATCAGTCTCACCAAAGTTATCGAGCAAAGCCCTCCTGCCTCTCCCTGGTTGTACGTTTGCCCCTTTCAGCAGCCCCTGGGGACTCATGTCCTGGCGCTTGACTCAGTAGTCCCTTGGAGTGATGTCATTCCCCATGCTGGAGGTATGGCCTGCACTCCGGGTTCATTGTGTGTAATCTTCCTTTTGGCTGTATTAAAACAGTGTTTGAGTTGACCCAGGTTACTCTCAGAGCAAGGCCAGTCTGGATCACTGCTCTGTCCTTACAGATTAGCAAAATTTAAGGCCAGAAGGGACTATCAGAGTATGGAGTCTAACCTGTAGATCATAACGCCCTTCGAGCTGGTGCGGTTACCCTGTATGGAGCCCAGTAATGTATGTTTGGCTAAAGCATGCTGTTCCTCTCTGATCTTGGCTTACTCACCTTTACTAGCAGGAGTGAGTTTGTGTTTGCTTGTACATCATTGATAAATATGCTGCATAGTGTCAGGCCATGTACTGATCCAGGGAAAAGCACTAGAGACACCCCCTTCGATAATTCCCCATTCATCTGTCAGCCAGGTCTTAGTCCATTTCACCTGTGCTCTGTAGAGGAGGGTAACAAGACACCGTGGCTACGTCCAGACTGGCAGGATTTTCCGCAAATGCTTTTAACGGAAAAGTTTCTCCATTAAAAGCATTTGCAGAAAAGAGCATCTAGATTGGCACGGACGCTTTGGCACAAAAGCACTTTTTGCGGAAAAGTGTCCGTGTCAATCTCCATTTTCACCATCGGGGCTTTTTTTGCGCAAAACACTTTTTAGCGTCTACACTGGCCCTTTTGCGCAAAAGCATTTCCGGAAAAGGGCTTTTACCCAAATGGGAACATCAAAGCATTTGCGCAAGAAGCACTGATTTCGGACAGTAGAACGTCAGTTCTTTTGTGCAAAATCAAGCGGCCAGTGTAGACAGCTGGCAAGTTTTTCCACAAAATCAGCCGCCCATGACTGGAAGCTGCACAGGGTTCATTCGTTTTAGAACCAGAACTGGGAGCAGAAATAGCAGAAAGGGAGATGGGGCGGAGCCTCCATTTGCTGGTGGCTTACTGAGCTATAAGCCTGTGCTGATCAGGCAGCTTTCCAGAGGCCGTGTCTCTCAAAGCATCGTGGAACTTAGGGTCTTGGCTACAGGCTGGATCGATGGGTAGCAAGGGGCGATCTAGCCGAGAGGTGATAAGTCAGCTGCTGAGCTCTCCTGTCGACTCCAGTACGCCACCAGAACAAGCAGCATAGGTGGAGTCGGCAGGAGAGCGTCTGCCAGCGACTCGCCACGGTGAAGACACCACAGTATGTAGATCTATGTACGTGGACTTCAGCTGCGTTACTCATGCAGCTGAAGATGTGCAGCAGATGGACAGTCCATGGGAGGGTAGAGTAGGACGTAAACACGTGGCAGCTGTCAAGTAACCTCGCTTCATAGAGTCCAGTTCTGCACACGTGGCTCACATCATGCGCTGAGCTGTGTGAAATGCTCTTTTCCAAGAACTCCAGGATCCCTGAGCCTTGCTCTCCCCGTCTTAGGCAGCCCAGATTCAGGGGTTCCCTAGCCACGGCATGAGAAGCACCTAGCAGGGCCCATACCAGAAACAGGCCACTAGAGGAGATGGCCCAAATTTGCTCTGGCCTCCCACTCCCGTGCAGCCTCTGAGGATGGCCTCAGCTGGGTGTGCTCTTAGGGCTAGAAGCCTCTGCAGCAGCCTTTCTCTGCTCTAGACTGTCCCAGAAAAGTGCCATCTTGTGGGCAGCAGGTTTCTTCCTGTCTCCTTCCTCCCCCACCAGCACCCTGCTGTCCCCAAGGGCTCTGTGCATTTCCACCACCAGTACCCCGGCCCTCAGGGAGCCCCCAGAACGCCTCCTTTCTTCCCTGTCATGGAGGGACTGTCTGCTAAGGAGCAGGTGGGGTGGGCGGGGGGGAGCAGAGATGGGAGGAAGTTGGAGGCCCTAGTCAGGGTCCTGCGTCTGCCCGTCCCTGAGGGGAGAAGGAGTCAGGCCTCCGCACGCCTGGAGGGCGAAGGGAGTCATTTGATCATGGCCATGCCCTGGGATCAGTCTAGGACCCAGGTGCTTGTTAGGGTGGGGAGAGGCCCTTCATTTTGTGGTACCTGCATCGAATCGGGCCCCAAAGGAAAGGAGACCAAGAGGCATGATTGCTGTGACTGGCTTCTGTCACCCCCATCTGACTAAGTCCCACCCCTTCCCCCAGCTACTGCTCAGTCCCCTCCCCTCAACTCCTGCTCATCCCCATCCCACCGCAAGTCTCCTACCCACACCTCTGCTTGCAGCTGGCCAAAGTGTCCAATATGCTTGTGCCTGGCAAGTTGGCCCTTGGGCTAAAGGGCAGGGAAGGGAAGGGGCTGATTGGCTTTTGGGCGACTGCCCGATGTGTCTGCCATCCCGTCCCCCATCAGCCCTTCTGTTTTGCCGAAGGCAGGAGCCGCCGTGCACGCACTGAAGCGAACTCGCCGTTGCACGTGGGCTGGAACGCGCCAGCCTGCATGTTCTGCGCACCCCTCTCGCCCACAGCGTGGGCTGCAGCCCTGTGATCTGTTTCCATTTTGCTTGCAGCTGACTCTGACTATCCTGCGGCAGACAGGGGGGCTGGGCATCAGCATCGCAGGGGGAAAAGGCTCAACTCCATACAAGGGCGACGACGAGGTAAGGACCTGGGGTGCCAGCGCAGGGACAGACATGAGATGGGCCCCAGCAAGGCAGTGCCTGACCCTGCCTGTGCGGGGCCTGCTCTGTGGCTGTGTTGGCGCGCACCGGGCAAGGCAGGGCCAGCCTTAGACCCTCTTGGAAGCAGGAGTCTGGTAGGGCTGAGTAAGGGGGAATGTAGGTTGTGGGCTGACCCACCAGTGCTTCCCTGTGCTCACGGTGTAGTCACCAGAGAGAGTGCCACATCCGGGCCTGGGCATTCCCCTCCCAATAACAGACACCCCCAGAAGAAGGAATTCCTCCCTCTCTGGCCCCCCACTAACATCAACTCCTGGGGCAAAGGCCTGCTCTCCTCTTGCTCACATGACATTTTGCTTCCAGGGCATCTTTATTTCCCGTGTGTCAGAGGAGGGCCCTGCAGCCCGAGCAGGAGTCCGTGTTGGGGACAAGCTCCTGGAGGTAAGAGCCCAACCTGTGTGAAATGACAGTACTGTGGGCTGCAGGTGTGGTTCCAGTGTCTGGAGGAAGATTATTCTTTATTTGTGTGGCCATCATGCCTGTGCCTCCCAGTCAGGGCTTGGGGACCCATTTGTACAAACCCAGAACAAAACTTCCCTGCCCCAGTGAGCTTACGGTTGAACTAATATCCCCATTAACCTTAAGTTGTAAGGATGTGCTAAATTGAATGCTGACGGGGCACCTGTCAGCGCTGGTACCACTCCTTGCGAGGAGCACGGGAAGTCGATAGGAGCAGTTCTCCCGTTGACCTCCTGCTGTGGGGAAGGTACTAAAGTTCGAATCGAGGTACGTCGATTCCAGCTAAGTAGTTAACCCAGCTGGAGTTGCCTATCTTGATTCGAACTTCCAGGTAAGTATAGACATGGCTTTAGGACTCCTGGGTTCTATTTCTGGCTCTGGAAGGGAAGTATTGTCTATTGGTTAGAGGGTTATTGATACCTCAGTGCTATTTTTTCCTGTTGCTTTACATTTACATAGTGGGGCTGGTGTGTGTTTGAGGGTACCCTGTGGAGTTGGTATGTGTAGGCTCTCGTGGGGTTGGTTGGTGGGCATCAGTGTGTGTGTCGGGGGGAGGGTTCTCTGTGCAGTCAGTGTGTGTTTGTGGGGGCTGGGGGAGTTCCCTGTGGAGAACACAAGGACGGCCAGACTGGGTCAGACCAATGGTCCATCTAGCTCAGTGTCCTGTCTTCTGACAGTGGTCAATGCCAGAAGCCCCAGAGGGAGTGAACAGAACAGGGAATCTTCAAGCCATCCCTCTCCTGTATCCCATTCCCAGCCTTTGACAGAGGGTAGGGACACCGTTCCTAACCATCCTGGCTAACAGCCATTGATGGACTAACCTCCATGAATTTATCTAGTTCTTTCTTGAACCCTGTTAAAGTTCTTCACAGCATCCTCTGGCAAGGAGTTCCACAGGATAACTGTGCGCTGTGTGAAGAAAAACTTCCTTTTGTTTGTTTTAAACCTGCTCCCCATTAATTTCATTTGGTGACCCCTAGTTTTTATATTGTAGGAACAAGAAAATAATTTTTCCTAATTCACTTTTTCCACATCAGTCATGATTTTATAGACCTCTGTCATATCCCCCCTTTGCCCCTCTTTTCTAAGCTGAAAAGTCCAAGTCTTTTTAATCTCTCTTCATATGGGACCCGTTCCAAACCCCTAATCATTTTTGTTGCCCTTTTCTGAACCTCTTCCAATGCCAGTGTATCATTTTTTAGATGGAGTGACCACATCTGTATGCAGTATTCAAGATGTGGGCGTACCATGCTTTTATACAGAGGCGATAAGATATTTTATTCTGTATCCCTTTTTTAATAATTCCTAACATTCTGTTTGTTTTTTGACTGCTGCTGCACACTGAGTGGATGTTTTCAGAGAACTATCCACAATGACTCCAAGATCTCTCTCTTGAGTAGTTATAGCTAAATTAGTCGACCTCATATTTTGTGCAAAGTTGGGATTATTTGTTACATAAGAACATAAGAACGGCCGTACTGGGTCAGACCAAAGGTCCTTGTAGCCCAGTATCCTGTCTGCCACCCAGCCTCTGACAAACAGAGGCCAAGGACACCATTTTATCCCCTGGCTAATAGCCTTTTATGGACCTAACCTCCATGAAATTATCTAGCTTCTCTTTAAACTCTGTTATAGTCCTAGCCTTCACAGCCTCCTCTGGCAAGGAGTTCCACAGGTTGACTACATGCTGTGTGAAGAAGAACTTTCTTTTATTAGTTTTAAACCTTCTCCCCATTAATTTCATTTGGTGTCCTCTAGTTCTTCTATTTAGGGAACTAATAAATAACTTTTCTTTATCGACCCTCTCCACACCACTCATGATTTTATAGACCTCTATCATATCCCCCCTCAGTCTCCTCTTTTCTAA